CATATAAAAGCAAGCTATATTTCCTTTCAGATGCACTTTCTTCATCCTTCACTAAGTCTTTTTTACTTGTTTGCTTGTGTTTCCTTGCTGTTTGTTTAACCACTTTTGATAGCTACTGTTGATATCCATGCTGATGCTTTAAGCTCTTTTTTTCCCTCTTACCTGGCAGTAAAAATTCTTGCTGTGATTAAAGAATATCCACAGTTCCCCTTAACTGAGGACAGACTGAAGATATTATAAACTCATTCTTTCATCCCTGCAAAGTAGCATGGGCTACTGCCTTTCCTTGTGGTTTCACATTCATTTATTGGGCCCTAAATCAGTGCTTCACAAACTATCTGATGTGGTGGACCGTCAATATTTTTTCCAGTGGGCCAGGGACCGGTGCCCGGTTCAGCCGGTGACAGCAACTGCATGTAACAGCGCTACACAAATGCGCGACCAGCTGTTTCTTTCTCTTTCTTCACCTTGCATGACGTGACGTCACCTGGAGTGTTGGAACGTACGAACTGTGATGCTATGACATATCAATGTTATGTTTCAGAAAATATATTTCTTTCTTTCCTGGCAACTCGCTGCGGACTGGCGACCGGCGGCTCACAGACCGGCACCGGTCCGTGGACCACCACTTTGAGAAGCACTGCCCTAAATGATTCAAAACCCTGCATAACAGTTTAGCTGAGCAAGGCCTTGAAGAAAATAAGAACTTCCTTAGTTTCCTTAATTAATCCTTAATTAATCTCTGACAGACACAGAGCTGCTGCATAGCCAAGCACATTGTAAAAAATACTTCCTTTCACAGCACACTAAATCATGGGCCACATAGATCAAACCACTTTTAACCAAACCAGGAAGATAAAGATGATTTTTTAAAATTTTCTTTCCTTTTTTGATCTTAATAAATTAGGGATTCAAATAAAAGCATTTGTTGATGTTTAAATAATGTTTTGTCATGTTTTGATAGTGAGGAAGTTTTTAAGATTCTCCAGTCAAAATGTAATAATTTTTTTAATGGTTATGTTTGGTTTACATTTTATTTTTCTAGTAATGATAGCAGCTAGCAATGCCCTTTAGAGCATGCACAGATTCAAATGATAAAGGCTAAAGATTAAGCACAGCCGATTAAGAGTCCATGTCCTCTTTAGTCTAGCATCCCCGCTGTCACTAAACCCATATTCAGACTAAAGATATAATAAACAGACTGTCCTCAATATCATTTCCCTAAGCTGACCTCCTCAAAACTGACATTCAAGTATTCTTGTGGAATATTACAGTCTGTAGCACTTGTAAAATAACCTTATATAAGTTTATTTGTACTGTGTATGCTGCACATAAAGTACACTCATAGACACTGAAGTGAGAAGCCCACTATTACTTCTTGATTAGCAATTTGAGATAAAAATTCCAACTTCTATTATAAATTATATTCTTTGTAATTCTTTTGTCATTTAAAAGAGCACATTTTGACACTTAAAACAATAAATGAGCATTTTGCTATCATCAGCTCCAAATCAGTCACTGTTCATATACATTATGAAAAGATAGATACACAAGTCAAAACTGTAGTAATAGTAGTCCTGGCTTCTCATTATTTTTTTCCTTCTTTTTCCTTGAATGATGGACATAAAATATCCAGGAGAAAACCTGCAAATATTTTTTATTCTCTGCTGCACAGGAAACAAAACATTTACATGAACTGACTTGATACATGATCTGCTAGATATTTTACTTTTATTTGCTTCATAAAGTTTATTTTTTCAATTTAGAATATATATATATAGTATTTTTGAGCAGAGGGTGGAAATAAAATTTTATTATTTTATTTTTAAAAATTAATGTTGGGGGATACTTGAGAGGATTTTCATTGCACTTTAAATGTAATTTTCAAATAATTAAAAAGCAGTATATTGTGACTGCATAAAAATATTTTCTCATACAGGATTAAAAAAATCAACAATACAGTAAAAGCAAATGTTAAAATGAATAGCAGAGTGTTTTAATTTCTTAATTTTCTAGGCAGCCTGCCTTTTGACATCACAGATTGTTGTATAATTTGACAGCTAATGTGCTGTTTAAACATTTTAGTATCAGTTGTACAAATGCATTTTTATTAATAAATAATAACTTTTTAGTTATTGGCCCTGATTCATCTCTGGTTTATATTTATTCAACTATCTATGAAGTTACTTCTTACTTGTAAGAATATAAATGGAATTAGATCCAAATCCAATGAGTTTAACAGGAGAGGTAGTTAGTATTAGTAGACCTGAATTTAAACATAGTAGATGATAGCACACACCATACATTCCCAAATTGCAAAACTGAGCTGCATTTTGATTAGGTTTTTGTACAATTGGTTTGAAGAGGAAGCAAGTATCACGTGTGACCACAGTTGATGCATTAGAGATGCTCAGCAGTTTCTTTTCACTGGAATTGCAAGAAAATAAGGAGACATAAAAAAGATTCAGATAAATTTCATAGTCAGAGCATTAATTGGGTTTGGATTATTCTGTCCACCTTTTCACAAAGACACAAAACATTCTCAGGGAGCCTGTAAAGAAATCTGTACTTGAGAAACGATTGAAAACATGAATTTAACTCAGTCGCTTACTTTCAGACTTCTGCATCAAAAACTAATTTCATGGTCTGTCTCCATAACAACATAGCTTATTTCTGCCAGCTAACAATCATATAATGAAGCATAATGTGTTTAATCAGATTGCATGGACTACAATTCAAAGCAATTTACCTTTAGTACAATTTGGTGACACAGAAGCTTAGAAGAGGTTGAATTATAGGCCAGTTCACTTTAATCATCTTTATGAGTAGCTGGTCACACATTTAGTAACTCAGGCTAAGTGTATTTTTTTTCAGTTAACTTGTAAAAGTAAGACTTATGAATGATAAACAAAAAAGTGAATAGCTTCACTCTGGAATTTCTGACTCTCCTCTCAAGTCTACTGAAAATATTTTTATTTGTACACAAGTCACAGACAGCAACAAATCATAGAGATGGACTACTAACTTATTGTCCTGACAAAATTGGATTTTTTTTTGGAGAGATTGTTATCCCATACATTAGAATGAGTGGCAAACTCATAGGTATATTGTATTATAGGGAAATTAGAGAACTAGGGGGTTTCATGCATTATTTTTCCTGCAATTAAGCTAATTTAAAAACCTACAGTTGATAGATTTCTGCACAATGAAACTTGAGGGTCCTTCCTGTTGCTGAAGTAATGAGAATATCCTTAGCTAAATAACTTGCATCATTATAGACTAATTTACTAGCTCATGTATTACTCAAGCCATTATCATAATAGGGAATTTGAATTAAAATAGTCACATATTAAAAGAAAGAAGAAAAACAATATAAAATAATTACAGCTGCTGAAAGGTAAAATGATTTAAGGAGAAAAAATACATACTTTTGACACTTAACTTCTGAAGCATTTATGCTTTTGTCTTTCCACCCTACCCAATGTACTCTCTGTTTTGGCAGCTAATTTTCTGTTATCGACGTATATATGTTTATATATTAATATACAGCTATTCTTCTAATGTTAGCAAATAAGACCTTGTCCACAGCCCTTGTTTGCAAAGTTGTCTTATATACTAAGTAAGAACCACAGAATCAAACACTTAAGGGCAATATATAAGAGCTATTCTAAAGACAAGATCCATGTTGACATTTTAGAAGGAGGAATGTGTGCTGAGGGGATCAGGGGATGGAGGAAAATTGGAAGATAGATTCACCCCCCCACATACACTCGCACACATATACATTTCATTTTTTGTTTTTTTAAATGCTTTCTCTCTTGCAGCAGGGTAGTTACATTTGCTTTTTCAAAAAAAAATCACCCCAGTACCAGTATTCTATATATGTATATTTTAGTTTTATGTTTCAGCTGAAGGGAATGGGAAACTACAGTGAGATGCTTATGTTGGCAAACAACTTGGAAATTCTAAATACAAAAACCAATCAGAGCAGAAGGATTATAGTAGTAGGAGTACCATAATTTGCATATTCAGAGCACGGTTCCTGAGAAATAACAATGCCATGATTATGCAAATAAGCCCACAGCTAGAGTGCAGGGATTTGCATATCTAGGGGGAATCTGTAGCGTTATGCATCAGTAACTACACTTTGGCTGAAACAATTGGCTTTCAGCAGAATATTAAATATCATTGCTTTTGCAGTTTTCCATTATCCTATAATAAACAATAGTCATTTGATGCTTGATTTAAAGAGGCCTTGTCTTCAGTGGGAAGTGAGGTCACTCAGTACCTCATCAGAAACAGTTAGCACTTCATGAAAGGAGACTTTTTAAGTGAGAGCATGAAAAAATTCACTTATTTATGTTATTCCCAGGATTTTTGTAGAGAAATAATCTCAGGAATTTTTGGCTATAGATATGGGGTAAAAATGGCCTTTTTACTGAACATACTTATGCAACAGAACACTAAAGAACACTACATAACTTGACTAAAATTCTGATCCCTTCCCCCCTAACCCAATCCTGGACTGCTCAAGTTGCAGAACTGACTTACTGTAGCCATCTTATGGATAAAAATAAAGCAGACTTAAATGTCATTTCAAAAGGTGTTACAGGAAACCCAAAAGAACAGAAACATGTTAGGTTATAGAAACATCCCTTTTTTAAAAGCATACTTTTGTGTACTTCACATGTGCACTACATTTATCTTAGTTTGTTTTGAGGTACCCCCATCTCTCGCCTTTCTCTTTTGCAAGTGATGCATCATTAGTGCGTACATTGGCTGCCGCCTGGAAATATAACTGCAATTTGGTGATATAATAAAACTCATGCAAATATGCCACAATTATACACTTGGTGCTTCTGCCGAATTTAGAGAAAACACTTTGAGTTCAAATGCTAACATGGGAGAAATTGAGTGTGAGGCATTGTATAACACCAATATAAAAGCTACTCATCCCTTGAAGGACTGGTGGTTGGCTTGTGGTCGAGTAAAGTACTTACCATCCTCTGTGGGCACGTAGATGTTCAAATACAGGCAGTCTTCATTTTGATCTTGCACGTAAGTAACCACAGTATCCAAATTGGCAGTAAACCATACTGGCAACATGTCATTGAGCAATGATCTCTCATCCAGGTACTGTGGGCAGACAGCAGCAAACTGTGTGGCATTCCGGATCCCAGTCCAGGAGGAAGGAGGCTCCGGGGGCTGGAATCGCCTTTCCCCAGTTGGAGGGGAGGCATAAGGAACACCCAGGTACTGCTCCACTGGGCCGAGAATCTCATTGGGCAAAGGTGTTCTTAGACCCCGTATTTTGCCATAATTTGTGGTAACAACAGGATATTGTGCTTGGCCATCAATAAGAGTAAATCTTATAGCAAGTGCAGTTATCCACAGGAGGAAGTTAGCATTCAACATGACACAGACCGGAGTGAAGATCAAAGGCAGCCATAGGAGTCCCATTGGCCTCGACATTGTTTAAATCACCATCAGCAGGGCTCAATCTTCCACAGCCAAGGGGAAATTAATCAGTCAAGGAAAATAAGGGAATGGGGAAGGCAATATGGAGATGAGGTTAAGGGTAAAACAGAATCCTCTTCGGGCAGTGAAAAAATCTGCAGATGAATGTACTGATGCCTCAGATAACTGACCACAGACAGATTCCAATGCTATGACAAGCAAGGGAGTCCTTGTTCCTAAGGCCCATCCCCGGACTCCAATGATGGCTTAATCCTGGCAACACTTCCAAACAAGTGGAGGAGAAAAGACAGTCAGCAGTAACTCTGCTTTAGTAGCGCAATGATTCCTTCCAATTAATTCCAGCCTGGTCAGTCAGCCTGTGGCCAAGAGGAAATAGAAAATTCAAATTAGTGCTTGAAAAAACCCCTAAAATCTGACATAAATTCTAATAAAGTATTACACTCATACAGAATCTTTCAACACCAAAGTCTTCATCTACTCTTTCATAACTTTTAGTCATCCCTATTATAATGAAGCCATTTTGGAAATAAATTAAGGACAACTCAGAAATAAAGCTGGAAGTCATACAAAAATATAAGGTTGAGATATGAAGATAACAGTTCCAATTCATATTCCTTTGTCCATACCACCAACTCTCAGTCCCATCAGATCCCTCCTTAATTAAAATATGGCCTGAGCTATGTTGATTTCTTCATAAAATATATCATCCATGCAAATGCCACCTCTCAAATATTTACTAGCTTAGACAAACTAGCAAATGCATGTCTCCATAGTTCTTTTTCACTCACTTAATAAATATGTGCCTGACATTTTACTGCAGTAAATAGTCTGTCTCTTCTATCTATATTTTATAGATACTCCTGTTCTTCTGTTTCATGCCTCTGGAGAATAGTAATAATCACTGAAATATCCAAGACCTGGATCTCACCAATGTAACTCAAGAATGATTCAAGTGAAGTTAGTACGGTTAGAGCAAAGTTGTAGCCGTGGTGCAGGAATTATGCGAGAGGCAAAGATTTTTTGGGGGCGATTTCTTTAATCGGTTCTATTTCAGAAAGGGCTCTTGGTCCAATAAATATGTTAGATCTTTTCTATCTGATCTTGAAAATATAAATAGCTTTTGCCATCAATTTTAAATGTGTGGTTGAAATAAAATCAGACAAGTTTTTGAATTGAAGGCTTTCATTTGAAGGCCTGTCTAACCTTATTCCAACCATGCAGTTTGTATAATAAAGATAACACCCCAAAAAATCATTGCCTTTAGTGAGGTTAACAGATTGCAAAACCAATATGAAATCAGAAACCGGCATTCAGTTTCTGGCTTTCATGTTCATATTTTTGGTTATGGTTCAAGGATACCAAGAAAATATTGAAAAAAAATTGTCCTATAAACTTTTCATAATAATATGTAGATTTATAATAATTTGACATGCATAGGCCAGATACCCATTCAACTATGAATGAGTGGGCATGGCCAAGTGGACTTAGGCATCTAAATGTGAACCTATTCCTTCCTATTCAAGTTCCTAAAAATCCATTCATATATCTACTTGTGTAACACATTATTATCTTACCCTTAAGACCAGGCGTGTCTACATGAGGCGCTACTGTGCAGTGGTTACTGCACATTTATTTAGTACGTATATAATCAAGTACTTAGTAAAGGCGCCGTAACCGGGGTTACTGTGCAGCAGTGCTGGCAAATATTTTTTAAGTGACACTGCTGCACAGTACCCTAATAATACTGTGCAGTAGTGTATTAGTACTGTTGATGCTGTGACATGCTATTGCACAGTTTTATTCAGCTACTGCGCAGTCAGCATCTCGTGTAGATGTGGTCATTGAGTCATAAGCAGCAAGGATGAGGAGAATCTACCCACCTTTACTAAGAAAAAAATTGTCAGAGAATCAAGCATAGTGAAATAGGAGCACACTTGGGTGCCTAATTCCACTTTCATGCCTCATGGGTGAATAGAATCTGGCCCTAACCTTGTAGTATTATCATACTTCCTATGTGTCATCACCTTGTAATACTCTAGAGAAAGATAATTCATACTGTAAATTTCACTTATTTAATGAAAATTAGTATGTGAAGATGAAAGATAACCACGTACATATATTTTTTTGTTTATTAACCACTCATTCCACAAATAAACAGAAGTCTTTTTGTTTGAAGGATGATATGTCAGATAATTACCAGCAACACTTACACAGTTAAGGGATATGGGATATGGTAATAAAGTCTTAGAATTGAAAAGACCAACATGTCATTTATTGATAAGGTGTACAGCCTACTCAAGCCCTCTCTCTAAAATGGCTCTTTCTCCCATAAAGATATTAATTCATCTCTTCTATCTACTCCTGAAAATATAAGTAGCTATTGGCATTGATTTTAAATCAGGAACAATAAAGAACAGAGCTATGCTTCTTCACTTTGGATAAAAGAAAGATTTCTAAAAGAAATCTCATCCTTTCCTAAGTGATCTCAATCTTTAATAAAGATTTAGAAGGAACCACACACAATCTTTATTAGAAAATTGGTGAAATGCCTGAATCCTGAAGACAAATATATTCCAGGTGCATAATATTTATAAAGAGCTAATGATGTGTGTTGTTCTATATGTTCTGCTAACAGGTAATAAGCCATAACTGTAGCCCCAGAGGGCTTGCAATCTAAACAGTATGTCTTTGTAACTATTTTCAGATTTAAGAATCAATGACAGCCCTGGGCACAGGCAGTAAACTATAGGTTACCCAAAATTCCTCTAGCCACCTCCCTCCCACCAGCTCTGAACACTAGTTCTCCTTGTATGCCACCTCCTAGAATCAAAGGCTCATGGAAAAGTAGGAATGGAAGGCACCTCATTAGGTCATTTAGTCCAGCCTCCTCCTCAAGACAGGAACATCCTTGATTGAACCATCTCAGGCAAATGTCTGTCTAACTTAGTTTTGAAAATTTCCAGGGATCTAAAAATTCCACAGCTTCTCTATGGATTCTGTTCCAGTTCTTGACCACCCTCATAGTCACAAAGTTTCTCTTAACCTATCATCTAAATTTTTTTTTCTGCACTTTGAGTCCATTGCTTATAGTCCTGTCCCCTACAGCCAAAGAGAAGAGGCCATCTCCAAATGTTTCTATAATCACCCTTTAGGTTTTTAAGGACTATTATCAGCCCCTCCACTCCCCACAATCTTTTCTTTTCTAGACTAAATAACTCTAGTTATTTCATCCTTTCCTCAAAAGACAAATTTTCCAGATTTCTAGTTGTTTTTATTGTTCTCCACTGGACTCTCTAATATGTCTACATCCTTCTTGGAGAGTGGGGCCTAAAACCGGGCACAGTACTTCAAGTAAGGTTGAAACAATGCTGAATAGGGCAGAAGACTCTTTTCCCCTGATTTGCAAGAGATGTTCTTATTAATACAACCCAGCATGCTGTTACCTTTTTGTGCAACATTCAAAAATGGTTGGATCGTATTCATTTTATGATCTATTGTAACCTCCAGGTCACTCTACAGTACTACAACCTACCCAGTCATTCTAAAGTTTGTATTTGTGCACACAGTTATTAGGGGTGTGCGAAGCTTTGGTTGCCAATTCAATTCGGAGAACATCCAGCCCAATTCAGAGGCCGAATCACTGACTCCGAATCAAATCAGGAGACAACCCCCCCCCCCGAATTTATTCAGAGCCTATGAATTGATTTGGAAAAGATTCAGAAAAAGATTTGGAGATTCAGAAGGCAGTCTTTGAAGGGAACAGAAACTGAGAAGAGGGAGGGGGAGCAGGGGGAGAAAGACTGACATCTGTAGCTTGCCAGTAACTGTGATCTTTCCCTGAGTCCCCTCCCAATCACAGTACTCTTGGGGAGGGACGTAGAAGCAGCTACCATCTCTGCAATTTTCATCCCGCTGTGCCTTGACACACATACAAACTCACAAGTCACGAGTTTTGCTTTGAACAGTTTAAGGTACAGTTTCCCAGAAATCCCTGCACCTATCTCCTTAAAACTTGGCAGGCCTTATGCCTGCAGAAGGGGCTACCATCCCTGTTGTTTCAATCTGAATCTGTCACAAAATGACAAAGTTATAGGTATTTCAGTGATTCCCCATTATAGTCTATGGCCGAATCACCAAATCTCTCCAAATCAGCACCAAATCTTCCAAAACCAATTCAGCTGAATCAATTTGGGACAGTGATCCAAATCTCCAAATCGAATCACTGTCCTCTGAATTGGGTGAATCTGAATCCAAATCAAATACTTCCATTCACCTAGGCCTAGCAGTTATTCCATCTCAAATTCAGGGCTTTGAACTTGTTGAACTGGCTGATTGCAAACTGTTTTTCACGTGGCTGATCATAAACTTTTTCTAACTATCCAGGTCATTCTTGATCCCAACTCTAGAGTTGTAATATACTCTGTTTCCTTTTGTGCATGTAAAGGGCAGCTTTCTACTTATGAAAGCGGCACTTTTGTAACTTGCACACAGGCATGAATTCCACTCCCTGTCACAGTGTGGACATACCTGTACATGTGGATGCAAAGACTGAGAATGGACAGTAGACAAAGCAGTGGCCAAATGCATGCACAATTACATACAAATGTTCATTCTTGATCCATATCTATATCTAAGTCTAGAAAAAAACAGCTGGGCATTATGACTATCATGTATTAGATTAAGGAAAAGAAGAGATTGTTTTAGGCACCCTTTACCCTGAGGAGTTTGACACAGAACACCTCTTTGACTTTCCAGCACACTGTTCTAACCATTACATGACAGGCCATCCAGATTTCTCTCTGGTGCTCCTATTGAGACTGGATCTGGGCAGTCAAGCGAGGTAGGGAGGGGAAGGAAGAAAAGAACAAATTGGAATCATAGAATGGTAGGGTTTGAAAAGACCTCATCTCATGGTTGGACCTCATCTAGTCTAACTCCCTGTTCAAGGCAGTATCATCCCTGACTAAACCATTCTAGTCAAGTATATGTCTAATCTGCTTTTAAAAGACTTCCAAGGATGCAGATTCCACATCCTGTCAGAATAGCCTATTCCAGTCCCCACAGTACTTGGCTACAAAAACATAAGAAAGCCCTATTCCCCATCCTCAACCTTTTTGTCTAGAACATACACTCAGGTCCTCACACATGTAGCCATGTTCCTGTTAGGGATGTATGAAGCAGGACCTATTCAATTAGGATTTGGATTTGGCCTGAATCGAGGACAGTGATTCAATTTGTTGATTCGAATTACTGTCCCTGATTCGATTCAGCTGAATCTGAAGATTCGATGATGATTTGGAGAATCAGCGATTCAGACATAGATACAGCTTTAAACGTTTTTTCTACATCCCTCAAG